GAGCCTAGACTAATGGTACGGCAGTGGATAATACCAAGATTTGAACCCAATTTTTGCCTGGGGAAGAGGGAAAAGGAGGAATGTCATTAGAACAGGAATTGCCAACCCTCCCCCCCCCCCCCCCAGAGAGCTAGTCTGAATAAGGAAAAATACCCTGAGCTGTTCCCTTCCCACCACCATATTACTGTGTTCTGTTCTGACCTAGAAACAGAGTGTAGACTAGGAAGTAAACCAGATATAACACTATCAGCTAAGTGGCACAAAGAAAAACAGTATGAAATAAAAGCATTATTAAAAGCCAGGAGATCTTTTCATGACCTTCTCCTGGGTTTTCTAGGAGATGCACAAGCTACTCTGCAGCAGCTGGTGAACTCACGAGTCACCTATTTGAGACCCCTGTGTTAAGAGTTTCAGATTTCTGCTTTGTGCAGTCTTGAGGACAGAGTCCAGCTGGGTGGGGAGTACATCTCGTCTCTTATGCATATACAGACTAATGCATGTACCTTGATATTAACACAGCGTGCGGCATGCAGCCTGCTGTTCCACAAGCTGCAGCCACTATGCTGTGGAATGGCTGATCTATCACACATTTCAGGGCAACTGTATTTCTCTGGAGTACCTTGAATCTAAAGAGCCATCGTCCTTTGGGGTTCTTGAATCAATGAAGAGGAGCGGGGCTAGTGGAGCAGAAGGAAGGCAACAACCAGCATATAGCAGAGTTTTCAACAGTATGTAATAATGGGAGACCTCATAAGTGGTGGGAAAGCTCACAAGCTTCAGCCACAGGGTGACTTTTTATGTGCTGTTACAATTAAACTGCGGCTTTCTATCTGTTTTTATAATTTCTTTTTTTATATATTGTTATTTATTGTGTTTGTTATAGCCGTTTTATTTATACTGGGCTAGCCCGATCTCATCAGATCCCAGAAGCTAAGCAGGGTCAGCCCTGGCTAGTATTTGGATGGGAGACCACCAAGGAATACCAGGGTCATGACACAGAGGCAGGTAATGGCAAACCGCCTCTGAATGTCTCTTGCCTTGAAAACCCCACAGGGTCGCCATAACTCAGCTGTGACTTGATGGTGAAAGCAACAACAAACAAGCCATCTTGATTCCGCAAGGGAGAAAGGCGGCTGGTAAATATTTTAAAATAAATAAATAGTGAATACGAGAGCAGTGGTATTACAACAATGCCCTTTGTCTACCTGTGAAATGTTGTAGGGTATTAGGCCAATGTTGTATATTCATCTTTTATAGTTGAGCTTAAGCAGGGGTCGTTTCGTAGAAAAAAAGCTAGGGGAACTCATTAGCATATGCCACACCCCCTGACATCACCGGAAGTGTGTCATAAGGCCACACCCCCTGCCACCACCGGAAGTGTGTCATAAGGCCACACCCACCACTCAGTCTTAGTCTTAAAGGTTAGTCTTAAAGGTGCTATTTGTTAGTCTTATTTGAACTCTTGGACTATTTTGCAGCAACAGACTAACACAGCTACCTCGGGGAAGCTCCTGGATGGGGCTGGGAGTCCTTGCGGAGGCCACGTGGAGTGGCCTCGGCCAGGCAGAGGGGGAGGACGGCAACTTACCCTCCTGCTTCTTCCTCCTTCTGCAGCAGAATGAGGCTGGAAGCAGGGGCGGCCGGAAGAAGGGGGCGGGGCTTCGTCATGTGCCCCGCCCCCGCACCTCACCCGGGGGAACTGCGATCCCCCGCGATCCCCCCCAAATCGACCTCTGAGCTTAAGACCTTTGGCCATGGAAGCTATTAAACATAAGTAAGTAGTGTAGGGTATTTACATGGACACAGAAAAATGCAATATTCAGAGTCAATCTCTCGTCCATCTGGCCCAGACCTGTCTGACTGCCTCGGTCTCAGGCAGACCGAGGAGTTCTCCCCGTCCTTCTGCCCAAGATCCTTTAAATGGAGATGCTGGAGATTGAACCTGGGACCTTCTGCAAGCACTCCACCATTCAGCCATGGTCCCTATGGATTAAGCTAATGTGTATAAAACATTTGCAGGGACAATCGTACCAGTGGAATTTCAACATCTGTACTGGAGTATATCCAGAAGGCAATGGTGGAGGAAGAGATGCAAATCTTAGCCTGAAGTAGCTTCTGACCACACAAAGTCCAGCAGCATCTCTTCAAAGAACCACTCCACAGGCAGAAGAGGGATGGAAAAGAACCCCTTCAAAGAGGTTGTTTCCTGTATGGACCCATCAGTTCTATGTTGACTTTTAGAAAGAAAATAATGCATATAGTTTTCATGTAAGCAAGTACTGAAGGACAATTTGTTATTTGTTTAAACTCTTAATGGATAACTTTGGCTCATCACTGTATTTCAGTAACTATTTTGTTTTGTAATGTGAGCTGTTTGGGGGCTGGTATGCTCTGCCCTGGATAGCCCAGGATAGCCCAATCTTGTCAGATCTCAGAAGCTAAGCAGAGTGAGCCCTGGTTAGTATTTGGATGGGAGACCACCAGTGCCCCCTCTAAGCTGGGTTACTGTGAGCTAATGCACAGTTTTTAGCCCCTGGCTTGTCTTAGCACAGGGAGGATGGCTCCAGAGCAAACTAATTTATGCAAGAGCCAAATCGCTCACTCACAACTTTAATGCCAGTAGCTCACAAAGTAGAATTTTTGCTCACAAGACTCCACAGCTTAGTGGGAGCATTGGAGACCACCAAGGATGACTGAGGTCACAGTGTACAGGCAGGCAATGGCAAACCACCTCTGAATGTCTCTTGCCCTGAAAACCCTACGGGGTCGCCATAAGTTGACTCCAAATTGACTGCACTTTCCACCACCAGATTTCCTATGCTTCCAAACATACAGTAGGACGGATAAATAAAATACATCTGTTAAGAGGGTTCACATTTAAGCAATATACAATGTTGTGTGTGTGTGTACGTGTGTAAAGAATAAAGCATCCAAGATGTCTGAGGAAAGAGACAGACATCTCTCAAAGTCTTCGGTGGTCTTTAGCAGGAGAATGTTTTATTGACTACGAAAAACATAAATCCTGTCCTTGCAGTGTATGGGGACAGGTTAGCATCTGGCTTTTTCTTTTTTCGATAAGCACACTTTTCATCGGCTCAGTAGAAGTGAACAGGTAGATGGTTCCAGATTCAAATCTCCAGTTAAAGGAGCCAGCACTGAGAAGACCTTTCTCTTCCTGAGATCTTGGAAAGTGGTTGCCATTCAAAAAACGGTGACTGTGAGATGGACCACTGGCATGCCTTTGTATGTCAATACCATGTCCTGATGATATTGCTTCTGTTGAACTTCAGGCTGAATGCAAAACTTTAAATAAATCAGTATTAAAAAGAGAGGGCAACAGGTTTGCTTATGATAGTCTTGTTGAAAAGAAAAATGTTTCCAAACTAAAGTTTATGCCAAACTGTCTGCACTTACTGAACCATTTTCCACCAAAACCATCCTTCAGCAGCTGGATGCTTTAGAAACAGCAACGAAACCTCTGAAAGGCCATAAATGACTGTCACATGGCTATAAAATGAAGGGCAGGTCTTTGTAATATACTGGCTTTGACCTAAAGGGACCAGCTAGTATCACCATCCAACCAAGCAATGGATTTCCTTATCAGGCATCATTGTGATATTCTAAAGCCTCAGCTGGATAAATGGAAGCAGTTTGTAGACATACCCTGTCTAAAACACACCACCTGGGGCTGCCTCACAGATTGAATCAGGACTAGACCCCAACATTTCACACCCAGGCTCCTAATGCAGCAGAGAACCATCACCCAACCCACACATAGATCTCCCAAATCTTCACACACATACCCAACACACACCAAAACTTTTGACAACCAGTTGCCCCACCTGGAAAGGTCTGAATATTGCTTATTTAATTATGGGGATTGGAGAAAGGATACATGTAGCAGCTGAACCTGTCCTTATAGGTGAATATAGGTAAAGGTTCCCTTGCTCGAAAGCCAGTCGAATCCGACTCTAGGGTTGCGGGTGCTCATCTCTGTTTCAAAGCCGAAGAGCCAGCGCTGTCTGAAGACGTTTCTGTGGTCATGTGGCCAGCATGACTAAACACCAAGGCGCACGTAACGCTGTTACCTTCCCACCGAAGTGGTCCCTATTTATCTACTTGCAATTTCTTGCTTTCGAACTGCTAGGTTGGCAGGAGCTGGAACTAGAGACGGGAGCTCATTCCGTCATGCGGCACCCGGGTCTCGAACTGCTGAACTACCGACCTTCCACAGCCTGCAGTTCAGCGTCTTAACCACTTGAGTCACCGCAGCTCCATATAGGTGAATACACATTATCACAAATGACCCTTTTGCCTGGATGCAACCATATTTAACTTTGAAGCTTGGAAAGGTAGTAACATTACATACTGTTTCCTTAATTCTACTTTGTATGTTTTCATCATATCAAAAGTCAGCCTACTAATGAAAGAATCACCTGTGCAGAAGTCATCGAGTTTTTGTTGGCCTCCATAGCCCACTACTGCTGTAACAGCCAATGATCCTTTTGCCTGGATGCAACCATATTTAATTTTGAAGCTTGGAAAGGTAATAATGTTACATACTGTTTCCTTAATTCTATTTTGCATGTTTTCATCATATCAAAAGTCAGCCTACTAATAAAAGAATCATCTGTACAGAAGTCACCAAGTTTTTGTTGGCCCCCATAGCCTAATGCTGCTGTAACAGCCAACTGAAGTTTGGCTCTCTCATTTCCTTTTTCTACAGATGCAAAAATGAAGCCTGCTTTTCCATATGCTGCCTGGTGAGGAGATTTCATAGTGGAGGAACAGTAGGCAGGATGCTTTTGGAGCAACAGAACAGAATCCCTACCCTGCCCTGGAAGGCATCACTGTTTAATTTAGCCCTATTGAAAACATAAGGACGAGGTGTCTACAGCATGTCAGAAGGTGAATGATTTTGAATATAGCCGTTTGGGGTAAGCGATGCACAGAAAGTGTCTTAGAAGCTATTCAGAACCAATTTTAAAAAGGTTTCTTACCTCAGATACCAACAGGGGGAGTTCACCCTGGGGCAACATGCAACATTACCTGTGGAAAAACGAAAAATCTGTCAATATTCAGCTCTGTTATTCATGAGTAAATGCCATGAATCACTAAACCTTAGGTTTCCCTTGCTCGAAAGCCAGTCGAATCCAACTCTAGGGGGCGGTGCTTATCTCTGTTTACAAGCCGAAGAGCCAGCGCTGTCCGAAGACTTCTCCGTGGTCATGTGGCCGGCATGACTTATACGCTGAGGCGCACAGAATGCTGTTACCTTCCCACCAAAGCGGTACCTATTTATCTACTTGCAATTTCTTGCTTTCGAACTGCTATATTGGCAGGAGCTGGGGCCAGAGACCGGCGCTCACTCTGACACTAGGGTCTTGGACTGCCAAACTACAGACCACCGCGGCCCCTCCACTAAACTTTTATCCCCCCCCCCCAAGTATCAAGAATACAAAAAAGATGGACGGTTGGGGTAGGCTGTTCTCTTTTGCCTTGCCTAAATGATATACCTGTTTTTAAGACGCAAGAAAGGGGACATTATAAGGGATACCCACCAATTACATTCCACTCCTCACTCACCTCCTCAATATTAATAGCAGCGCATTCCACCCCTGACTTCTGACATGGGATCTGGCTGGCAGTTGCTTTTGTTTAATGAGTCAGCCTCGAGAAGGAGCCCAAAGCACACATGTCATCCCCGTCCAAACACAGTTCTAGCTTAACAGGTTTGCAACATGGCTTCGCTGGGCAAAGATGCGCCGGTTACATTTGGAAGCTATCTATTTCTGAATACTTTTGGACCCAACCCAATGTAAATTAAAGCCCAGATTTTAAAAGCCTTGGCAAACAGACATTGTTTGCAAAAGAAGCATGTTGAAACTCCATTTCGCTAATATACCTTGAGCCCCCAAATGAAAAAGACAGAGAGTGAAATAAGAGAGCTACCCATTTGTGGCTTCAGATGCAATCCCTACTTCCCTGCCCCCTCAAAACCTAAAACAACAGATTCCAAAAGAGTTACAGGATTTCCCAAGAACAATATACAAATGCCTTTAAGAATAGCAAATGCAAGTTCAGATTTTCCTTGTAAAGTATGCACGAGATGCAACCACAGCACTGGGCTTCTGCTGGTGTGTATTTTGCAGGCCTAAGCTGTAGTTTGGTGCATGTGAGTATGCCATCCCTAAATTTATTTCTACACAAATACTTTACTATTCTTTTGAACTATGGTGCTGGAGAAGACTCTTGAGAGTCCCTTGGACTGCAAGAAGATCAAATCAGTCAGTCCTAAAAGAAATCCACCCTGACTGTTCCCTGGAAGGTCAGATAATGAAACTGAACCTCAAATACTTTGGCCACCAAATGAGAAGGGAGCACTCACTGGAGAAGACCCTGATGCTGGGAAAGACTGAAGGTCAAAGAAGATGGGAACGGCAAAGGATGAGATGGTTAGACAGTGTCATAGATGCAACGAACATGAAGTTGAGCAAACTTCAGAGGACGGTGGAAGACCGGAAGGCCTGGTGTGATCTGGTCCATGGGGTCGCGAAGAGTCGGACTCAACTGTGCGACTGAACAACAACTTTACTATTCTGCCCTGACGTGGATGGTCCAGGCTAGCCTGATCTCAGATCTCATTGTCAGATCTCATAAGCTAAGCAGGGTTGGCCCCGGTTAGTACTTGGATGGGAGACCACCAAAAAATCTAAGGTCACTCTGCAGAGACAGGTAATTGCAGACCACCTCTCTCAGCGTCTCTTGCCTTGAAAGCCCTACAGGATCACCATAAATCAGCTGTGATTTGACAGCTATAGAGTCAACACGTCATTATCTTTATCATGCCTTTTCTTCCACAGATCCCAGGGTAGGCACTGTTCCATCTTAGCCTCATAACAACACAGTAGGATCAAGCTGACAGTTGCAGAAGTGGCATCCAAAGAGTCAAGCCACATCTCCCTAATCCAAGTCCACTAAGTCACAACACAGTACATGGTGGTCTGCTACTAACCTGCAATCTGTTTTATGTATATTAGGGGCTGTTCAATGGCTGCTTTACCCTTGTTTTTATGCCCATGATTGGTTTTTTCAATGGCTTGCATAAATATTGATGATTTATGTTGGTTTTATGGTACTATTTTTCTTCTAAGTGCATGGAGCAGGTCTTGGGGAAGTGGCATAGGGTGGCGGAAAGTGCTGTCGAATTGCACCTTCATAGGGTTTTCAAGGCAAAAGACAAACAGAGGTGGTTTGCCGTTGCCTGCCTCTACCTAGCAACCCTGGATTTCCTTGGTGGTCTCCCATCCAAATTCTAACCAGGGCTGATCCTGCTTAGCTTCCATGATCTGATGAGATGAGGCTAGTCTGGGCCATCAGGACAGGGTGAAGTGGCATGCAGATCCCCTAAATACAATGAGCAAATTGCCACTTAATGTGCAAGAGCATCAACATGGCAGGATCTTACTGACTAACTAGTTGACAGCAGCATTCCCGCACTTCTGCGGCCTCCCCTAAATTGCAATATCACATTTTTCCTTCTCCATCATACAACTTTGGCTTTCACAGTCATCTCCAATTTCCCATCGAAACCCAGGCTTAATTTGTTCCCACTTTATCGTCCACTGCAATGAAGCCCAAGTTTGTATAGCTGGGTTTGCTCACATGACTGCTTGGTTATCCCCCCCCCCCCCCAATCTTCTACTCTCTCCCCAGTTTCAGATTTTAGACTGTAAGTTCTTTGTGGGCAGGGGCCTTTTGCCTGTGCTGTACTGATAATTTTTTTTTAAATGCTCAAAAAGGGTATAACACACAGGAAGATAGTTTTCAGAGGGTAGCCATGTTGGTTTGCAGTAGAACAGCCACATTCAAGCACAATCGTGCCTTAGAGACCAACAAGTTTTACTTTCGAGAGTCAGAGCTCCTCTCTGATGAAAAGGAGCTTTGACTATCAAAAGCTTATACCCTGAAAATCTTGTTGGTCTCTAAAGCACTACTGGACTCATCTAGCTGACACACAGAAGGGCGCTACAGGCTGTGGCTGGGTGGCTCAGACTGAGCTGGTTGAAACTAAACCCGGCAAAGATGGAGGTCCTGGGCCTGAGTCGGATCGGCTGGCTCGGCAGTTGGTCCCCTTCCTTAACCACGATGACCTGGGATGAAACAGAGTTATATTTTCAAAACCCATTTCCTCCCATCCTAAAATCCAACCGTGAGATACGCCTGGGATGAAACAGAGTTATATTTTCAAAACCCCTTAAAACATATCCCTCTGTCTCAAGTTCAAGGAAACATTAAGTGTCCACTTGCCAAATTCAACACTCTCACCCTTTTCTTTAAAAACACCTGAAGTCCAACAGCATCCTCACACTTAGGAATGAAAGCAAAACATGGAAAGAAAACACATTTGCAGAGTACCGATTGTAAACTACAGAAACTGAAACGGATTTTGGCAAAGGGAGAACGGATAGGAGAATCTGTTTCAGAGTTTCCACACAGACCTTTTTTCCACCTCTAATTACTCCCTATTTACAACAAAATACCAAAAAGCCATTTCAAGGTTCCCACTGTTATAGCACCATAAGGTAGACCTTGTTCAATAAAGTCCATTAATACAAGACACTAGGAATCATGTTTTTTTGGGGGGAGGTCTACTCTCAGTGCCACATATAACCTCTTCCCCAGCTTTGCGGTGAAGGAGGAATTTAAACCCTGGCCTTCCCAGTCCTACCATGACCCTCTTATCACTACACTGAGAGCTAACAACAATGCCATTTTTTCAGCTGGGAACACGGCTTGGAGGACTAGTGTTTTAGTCACCACTTTAAGAAAAAACAGACATGACTCTATAAACTCCAGCTACAGCATTAGTAAAAAGGAACCTACACAAAAGTGTAGGGCGGGGAGAGAGATTCACAGAGGGCATGTTCATACCACCATCTCATATCTGTCTCTGATAGAAGCATACCTCTTTTCTAGACAGATTATACAAGATGTTCATATTCCAAGTCAGACTATTGGTCTGTCTACCTCAGTACTGTCTACTATAATGGATGTCTGCCCTTCGGGTTTTCAAGTACAGATACAGAAATCGATATCTGCTACCCAAGATCCTCTGTGTGAAGATGGCAGGGACTGAGCCTGGAACCCTCAGTCTCCAGTGCATGCAGTCTGTTGCATGGCCACAGCCAACAGTTGCCAACCTCCTGGTGGTGCCTGGAGATCTCTCGTTATTACAACTGATCTCCAGGTGACAGAGATCCATTCACCTGGAGAAAACGGCCACTTTGGAAGATGGACTCTATGGTTTTATACCCCACTGAAGTCCCTTCCACTCCCCAAACCCCACCCTCCTCAGGCTCCACCCCCAAAAATCTCGAGGAAAATACAAGCTAACGTCCAGTGCGTAATTTAGTCAGATTCTCACCTTTTAACTTATAGGTCTCTTAAACCAAGGGATGTGCAGAGAGATTCTATAATTTTGTTTTTATCCTTTTAATCTGGTTTACTCTGCTTCTGAATGGCCTGTGGGCCGTAATAAAGACTGACTGACTGAGGTATTGCCCAACCCGGACCTGGCAACCCTACCACAGCCCCTGGCATAAGAAAGCTTTGTTACCTTCAACCATTTCACAACAGCTCTGCCCCGATCAACAAAGACCATTCTCCAGACAGCTGAAATCGGACCAAAGGAAACCAACAGCCTGGAGTCAAGTGGTCACTGTTTTGGTATTTATAACAGAGACGCCAGCTTGTACAAACACAGCTCTTTTTATGCTCACACTAAAAGCAAAGCTGCAGAGGCCTGGGATGGGCTCCCCACCTCACGACTAATTCTCTGTTCATCTATCTGCAGGATAAGTTATCTGGACACCCAGCTGCACTCAAGCCAAGCAACCCCACACACAGGTTGGGGTTTTTCCATTGGTATGCCATCGGCCACAGCCAGCATCAGAGGCACAAGGCACACAGAACACAGGAAGGGCTTATTTTTCTCTACCCTTAGAGTCCCACATTCAA